CAGTGGTCTCCTAATGAGGATTGTCGGGAGGAAGTCCCACGTTAAGGGGATGATCATGAGTTTATTATAGTCAAGAACACTATCTCCATTGACATGAGGTCTTATTCCCTTGGGCCTTAGGGAGGAACACTATCTCCTTTGAGCTGAGGCCCTGTATGAGGTCTTATTCATTATCTTTACTACTCGCTGCTCCTACCTCAACGTTCCATTCCAAGTTGCATGAATTGCTCCTAATTTAGTCTCCCCTTTATTTTAAGTGAGTTATGGGCATTACATCCAACTTGGAATGAGATGATCAAGAGGAAGAAGAAGGTAAGAATCCTCTTGATAATGAAGCTGTAAGGGAGAGGGTGAAAAGATTTGACGTTGATACAGGCAGCTCAGTTCAAGATTTATACAGCTTAGTGGCATTCAGATTTTGCTGTTATTAGAAAAAAAGAATCCTATGATAATAGGCCCTTTCAGTGGCCAATTCAGTCTCTGTCATTTTTGTTTGTTATGCAAAAGGCTCATATAATAGCCACAGATTGTTCAGAAAAAATCTGAATGCCTGCTTCCCTCTTTTCTTTCGTTTACTTCTTACCTTTGTCTCTAAGGGCCTAAACCCACTGCCCAGAGTTCGCCAGTAAAAGTCCAAACTCACTTATCGTTAAAAGATATTGTCAAGGTCGTTACACTATAAGAGCTCAGATTATTTACTGGTAAGCGCCCAAGCTCACTTGGAAAATATTGTCAAGCTCGTTACACTCTAAGAGCCTAGATTATTCGCTGGTAAGAATCCAAGCCTATCAGTGGTAGATATTGTCAGGCCCGTTACGCGGTAAGCGCTCAAGCCCACTGTTAGCAGATTTTGTCAAACCTGCAATGTTGTAAGAGCCCGAGCCCAAGCCCATTGCTAACAGATATTGTCAGGCCCATTAGGCTGTAAGAGCCCAAACCCACTGCTAGCAAATATTGTCAGAGACCCATTATGCTGTAAGAGTCTAAATCCACTGCTAATAGATATGTTAGGCCCGTTGCGTTGTAAGAGCCCAAGCCCACTACTAACAAATTTTATCAGCCCCTGTAAGAGTCTAAGCCCACTACTAGCAAGCAAATATTGTCAAGCTCTTACGTTGTACGAACCCAAACCCACTGCTAGCAAATATTGTCAGGCCCACGCCATCAACCTCTAGGGAGAAGTAGAAGTTTCTATACCCTTATAAAGCTTTATCGGTAAGAAGTTTCTACACCCTTATAACATGAAATATCACATTTTTCCTCCAATAACCCAAATTTAACTCATCCAAAAAGCCTAAAGAATCAATTTCTTGAATAAGAAACGAGTAGAATGTGAATATCTGTTGATGTTCATACCCACAATCTGATAATCCAAACAAAAACCAATGAATTTGTTCACCAATTTACTCCCAAACAAGAAGAAAAAGCTAGCACTGAAAATGAAGGGGTCTCCTAATAAGGCGACCCACATGAGAAGCCAAATTTGAAGGGAAGAATCCAAATCATGATAAAAACAACATTAAAAAGTGGTCCATGTTTGGTTAGTGAGCCTCCACCATTTCTAACCCTAGTGCTCCTTGTTGGGAAGGTTGACATTTCTTCAATACTCCACTTTCTTTATGCTTTTTCTAAATGCTCTGTATCATGGTGTATACGACTATTATACATTTGTAATGCAATGTGACATCTTAGCCATAACCTAAGAGTAGGTATTGATTGTGACCCGTTCTTACTTTTCTATGGTGGATGTATAGTACTCCTCTACATACGACAACACGCGCATGAACCCACCTGACAGGTGTATATGTACCCCTGAACCTACCTTTCAGCTATCGCACGTCCATGCTGTTGAAACCACAAAGGAAAAGGAACCAAGGAACCCACATAATATCATGATAAAACATAGATATCGTAATCTACGCATTTGCACTCATTGTAACGGGGAACTATCTTGATGCATATGGCATACAATATGCATAAGGTCCCATAGTATCAATTCATGACATATGTATTATGCAAGTCGTACCTCCATTATTTTCATGACGTAACGTCCTATGAGATATGCATGCATAACATTTGTTATGTCGTTCGCAACTAACTTACATGGCTTTCGAATGTAATGAATGAACATATTATATAATTTACACGACATAACATATAGAGGTTCATGCATCATACAACATTGATAATAACATAACAATATAACTTGTATCGCATCATATTTGACATCATAACATAAACATAGCATTATAGTAATCAAGTCATCCATCCAACCAATCTAATAGTAAAGTCACAATGCTCCTCTAGCTTAAAGCGGCCTTCAAATAATTTCAATTAATTAAAATGTAGTCATACTGATCTTAAACGCGTATGAAAATTAAAAATGGTAGGAAATGATCCAAACGTATCAGACCCGAGTCAGATCAGCTAACCTCAAAAGGGTTCATAAATATCAAATCCAAGTCAGATCAGTCGAAAAGTCGAGCGGGAGCAATCAAAAAGTGTATTCTCTGATTGACTCCTATCAACTTAAGTGGGATGAAACGGAGCAATTATTATGATTTAGTAAGCCAAAAGACCACCTTTTTACACGGGAGTCTAACTCAATGTGGGACAACTTTTTATTTATATAATTTTCTAATATTTGGTGGATTATAGATAAATTTTAGATTGATGGTAGAAAAAGTGACAAACCAACCAAAAACTCAAGATGTTGTGATAGAGCCAATACTAGTCGGTGTTGAGGATTATTGGGATTGGGAGTGTCCCACATTGGTTAATTTAGTGGAAGATCATGGGTTTATAAGTGAGGAATACTATCTTCATTGGTATGAGGCCTTTTGGGGAAGCCCAAAGCAAAGCCATGAGAGCTTATGCTCAAAGTGGACAATATCATACCATTGTGGAGAGTCGTGATTCCTAACATGGTATCAGAGCCATGCCCTAAACCTAACCATGCCAATAGAATCCTCAAATATCGAACAAAGAATGGCGAGCCTCGAAGGTGTAGTCAAAAGTGACTAAAGTGTCGAACAAATGGTGTACTTTGTTCGAGGGCTCCAGAGAAGGAGTCGAGCCTCAATTAAGGGGAGGCTATTCGAGAGCTCCATAAGCCTCAGGGGAGGCTTATAGTGTGCTTTGTTCGAGGGGAGGATTGTTGAGGATTATTGGGATTGGGAGTGTCCCACATTGGTTAATTTAGTGGAAGATCATGGGTTTATAAGTGAGGAATACTATCTTCATTGGTATGAGGCCTTTTGGGGAAGCCCAAAGCAAAGCCATGAGAGCTTATGCTCAAAGTGGACAATATCATACCATTGTGGAGAGTCGTGATTCCTAACAGTCGGGACATAGTTACAACGTGTTGTCCTAAAAGGTATATTCGTTATGTATGAGTTGATGACTAATTTTAGTAACAGCTCGAGCTCAAGCTCGAGCACACCGTTAACAATCCAAATATTGAAATAACAAAAGAATTTAATTTACATATATTAAATTCCAAAGTAAACATCCCTTTCCACTTTGTTTCAGCCATTCATAACAACATCGAACAAATAATGGTATAATCATTCAAAAAGGTTCAATGTTTAGCCATATTGGGTCCCTTTTCTACGCAATTTGCAACCTAAATCATTATTACATGAATTATTTTCTTTAACAAACCCCAAAAGCTATACTTTCCCTTTCTTTCTAATTATTTTTAGAGAAATGATGGGAATTGAAACTTGAAAGAAAAGAAAAGAAAAATGGAAACAAACAGCTCATGTGTTTGGTGAATGAAAGACGTTTTTGAAGGCAAACCCAGACCCCATCATGTCACCTTGACATGATCGCCGCTAGCAAATATTGTCTTCTTTGGATTTTTCTTTTCGAGGTTCTCTCAAGGTTTTAAAACGTGTTTTTTAGGGAGAGATTTCTACACCTTTATAAAGAATGTTTCGTTCTCCTCCTCAACTGATGTGAGATCTCACAATCCACCCCCTTCAAGGCCTAACGTTCTTAGAGAGGTTTCCATTCCACACCCTTGTAAAAGAAAACGTTTCGTTCTCCTCCCCAACCAATGTGGGATCTCACAATCCACCCCCTTCAGGACCTAGTGTCCTCAGAGAGGTTTCCATTCCACACCCTTATAAAAAAACGTTTCATTCTCCTCCCCAACCAATGTGGGATCTCACAATCCACCCCCTTCAAGGCCTAGTGTCCTCAGAGAGGTTTCCATTCCACACCCTTATAAAAAAAACGTTTCATTCTCCTCTCTAACCAATGTGGGATCTCACAATCCACCCCCTTCAGGGCCTAGTGTCCTCAGAGAGGTTTCCATTCCACACCCTTATAAAAAAAAACGTTTCATTCTCCTCTCCAACCAATGTGGGATCTCACAATCCACCCCCTTCAGGGCCTAGTGTCCTCAGAGAGGTTTCCATTCCACACCCTTATAAAAAAAACGTTTCATTCTCCTCCCCAACCAATGTGGAATCTCACAATCCACCCCCTTCGGCGCCCAGCATCCTCGTTGGCATTCCCTTCTCCAATCGATGTAGGACCCCCAAACCACCCCCTTTCGGGGCCCAACATCCTCACTTGCATACCGCCTCATGTCCACCACTCTTCAGGGCTCAGCCTCCTCGCGGGCACATCATCCAATGTCTACCTTTGATACCATTTGTAACAACCCAAACTCACCACTAGCAGATATCATCATCTTTGGGCTTCCCCTCATGATTTTAAAACACATCTCTTAAGGAAAGATTTCCACGCCCATATAAAAAGAATGTTTCGTTCTCTTCCCTGGACAATATGGGATCTCACATTAATCGAGACTATTGTGTTGCCCACTCCCCTCTGCTAGAATGTTTTCCAATGAAGAGGGCCCCAATCACTCACTCCAATGGCTCACACCCAGCCGCTCTTCTCTGCTTCTTCTGACCATTCCTTTCACACTATTCCTCTCCTTTTTGTTTACTTCCCTTGCGCCATCTTCAGAACCATGTGTCCACTTGCATTGGTGAGCAGGGCAATACACCCCGTGACATGCACCCTATTTTTACACACTGTTTTATAACCTTCAATCACTTTTGTCCCAACCCATCTTACCAAATCATGCGACTTTTTTCCCACTTCCGTATATAAACTCACCAGGGGATGCAAGAATCTTCACATTCATAGCTCAATCAAACTCATTGTTTAGTATTTAGGGGCCCAAGAAATCCAAAATGGGTTATCAAGTCAGAGTGGTTCTAGCCCTTCTTCTTCAAGCATCTTGGCTGCTGTTCCTGCAACAAGCAAACGCAGCAGGAACCAACAAAAAAGGGGCGTTGAAAGGAAGAAAGCAAGCCAATGGGTGCAATTTGTTCCAGGGAAAATGGGTTATTGACCCTTCTTTCCCTCTCTACAACTCTTCTGGTTGTCCTTTCATAGACGCCGAGTTCAATTGCCAAAAATATGGCAGACCCGACTCTGTTTACCTCAAATACTCTTGGCGTCCCGACTCCTGTAGCCTTTCAAGGTATTGCAATATATTATTTTATATAGCCGTAAAAGCACATGAATGAAAATTAGACTTTTAATACCACTTCTAATCCTTAACATGATATTAGAACTTCATTCTTAACACTTCTTTGTCTATGTTTTTAACGAGGAGCTGCAGGCCTCCTTCGGGTAGTGCTCTGCAGCTCGCTCGCTCATGATTCTCTCCCTAACTTTCTTGGTGTTCTTCAAAGTTGATGAATTTGGTAATGGGGATTTCAGATTTGATGGGGTGGATCTTCTGAAGAGATGGAATGGGAAGAAGATAATGTTTGTGGGCGACTCACTGAGTTTGAACATGTGGGAATCGTTGTCTTGTATGCTACATGCGTCGGTGCCGAATGTCAAAACTACCTTCACCAGGAGGGACTCTGTCTCCTCTGTCGTCTTCCAGGTTTTGCTTCTACTTTTCTCTCTCTCTCTTTTTACTCTCTCGAGCTCGCTTAAGCTCGAGCACATCATTAGTAGATATTATCCGCTTTAACCTTAAGCTTGAGCATACCATTAGCAGATATTATCCGCTTTGACCTCTTACCTATCATCGTCAGTCTCACGATTCTAAAATGTGTCTCCTGTTAGAAATGATTCGTTCCCTTTATCTCACATAAAAATACCTTAAAATATTTTTAAAAATAAAAAATATAGGGACGAAACCGATAGTACCAATCTCAAGAATACCAATAAAATTTTCTAATTAATAATAATACTTTTAAAATTTTAATTTTTTTTTTACGAACATAAATATGATTTATGAAAGGTAAATAAATGATTTCCATTTATATATAAAACAAAAAAATTTAAAATTTTTATAAATGTTAAAAACTATGGGAATTTTCTAATTTAATAAAAAAAAAAACAAAGTATAAAATTTATTAAGAGTATATAACAGAAAAAAAAAAAAAAAATCTAAAGAAGAGTAATAATGTATGGAAAATAATATTATTAAATTCTTCAAATGCATTATATGATAATAAAAATAAAAAAATTAAAGTTCTTTGTATAACCATTTAAAAAAAAAAATTGGGTTTTTATTATCAAAAGTAATGATTTTCTTTATTTTGATCTTACTTTCTGAAAAGCTCTCAAAGCTTTGGGCATTTTTCTTTTGTCTTAATTAAGAAATAACACAAATAAAGTAAAAAACTTTCATTTATAGCCTTATTTTTTAAAATACATAAATTACAGCTAAAAATAGTAATAAAAATAGAAATAATTAGAAATATAATATTTTTGTAAATAAGAAATAGAATGATAATGAATTTCACTATCCAAGATACTAAATTTTCTGGTACATAAGATTCGGTGAGATACGGAATCTGTTTCCAATCAAAAGTACTTGAGAATTAAAATCTGAAACTTTTTCTTCTTACCCATCAAAATTATTTAATTATTTGACTCGTGGCTGTGGTGGGTTTGAGTTATTACATAGTAACAGAGCTAGACATTGGGTGGTGTGCCAGTGAAAACGCTGGGCCCCGAAGGGGGTGGATTGTGAGATCCCACATTGGTTGGAGAGTGGAACAAAACATTTCTTACGAGAGTGTGGAAACCTCTTCCTAATAGACAGGTTTTAAAACCATGAGGCTGACGACTATACGCAACGGGTCAAAACGGACAATATTTGTTAGCAGTGGGTTTGAGTTGTTACAATGGTAACAAAGCCAGACACTCGGGGATGTGCCAGCGAGGACGTTGGGATCCAAGGAGAGTGGATTGTGATATCCTATATTGGTTGGAGAGGGTAAAAGAAGCATTCCTTACGAGGTGTGGAAACCTTTTCCCAATAAACGCGTTTTAAAACGATGATGTTGACGGTCATATGTAATGGGCCAAAGCAGACAGTATTTGCTAGCGGTGAGTTTGTGTTGTTACAATGGTAGTAGAGCCAGATATCAAACGGTGTGCTAGCGAGGACGCTGGCCCCCAAAGGAGTGGATTGTGAGATCCCACATCGGTTGGAGAGGGGAACGAATCGTTCCTTGTAAGGGTGTGGAAACCTAACCTCTCCCCAACAAATGCGTTTTAAAACCGTGAGGCTGACAACAATACGTAATGGGCCAAAACAGACAATATCTACTAGTGGTGGGCTTGAGCTGTTACAAATGGTATTAGAGCTAGACACTAGGCGGGGTGTGCCAGTAGTGGACAATATCTGCTGGCGGACAATTGAATGGAAATTTTCTTACTTCCCATACTTACTTTAATGCTCCAAACAACATCATTATTATGAATTTTGTGAAGAAAATGATATCAGGACACTAAGAGTTCATATGTGGACAGGATTATGGAGTAACATTACTTCTATATCGGACGCCGTACCTAGTGGACATAGTGCGAGAGGATGTTGGGCGAGTGCTAAAACTAGATTCCATCGAGGCTGGAAAAGCATGGCTAGGAATGGACGTCTTGATTTTCAACTCCTGGCATTGGTGGCTCCACACAGGAAAATCTCAACCGTAAGTTCAAACATCAAACATTCTTAGGGACCTTGATGGTTTCTTTGAGCTTGGAGGAATGAACAAGAGTGTGTGTGTAATTTGCAGGTGGGATTTCATACAGAATGGCACGACACGGTTGAAAGACATGGACCGGTTGACAGCATTTTTCACAGGATTGACGACATGGGCCACATGGGTCGACCACAATGTCGACCCTACAAAAACAAAAGTGTTCTTCCAGGGAATTTCGCCTACCCACTATTTGTAAGTGTTAAACTTAACAACCTTTCAAACAATTTCAGGGAATTTAACACTAAGAATTGAACTGCAATGAACCAGGGGGAAGGAATGGAATCAGCCCAAAAAGAACTGCGTTGGACAGAGTGAGCCATTAACCGGATCAACGTATCCAGCCGGCGCACCACCGGCTGCAGATGTTGTAAATAGAGTGTTGAGTAAGATAAAAGTACCTGTTTACTTGCTGGACATCACAACGCTCTCTCAGCTGAGGAAAGATGCCCATCCGGCTGGTTATAGTGGTGAGCATGCAGGCACAGACTGCAGCCATTGGTGCCTTCCTGGATTGCCAGATACATGGAACCAGCTCATGTATGCTGCTATCCTAACCATGTGAAGATCAATAAGGTTAATATTATGAGATCTCCGCCAAGAATTTGGAGACAACTCTAATAAGGAACAGGTAACAAAAGTATAGTATTCATAAGACTGGTAAAGAGAATAGGAGCAGAATGGATAAGATACTGTAAAAGGGGATGAAATCTTACAGGACTAGGAATGAACTTCTGGTTTGTTCAGTTTATCTTGTATTCTTGTACCATTGAGCTTTACACCTGAGTTTTCTAATCTTTTCACAGTGATGAAACTTGTCAATGTAATGGTTTTCTTAAATTTATCACAGAAATCAGCTGTCTCGTTTGGATTATTTTGTTGTAGTCTTCCGCGTTGACTTGCATTTACTTGGATTCACAAGATATATGAAACAGCTCAAGTCCACCGCTAGCAGATATTGTTGGCTTTGGTCCGTCATGTACTGCCGTCTGCCTCACGATTTCAAAACACGTCTACTGGGGAGAGGTTTCCATACCCTTATAAGGAAAGAATCGTTCCTCTCTCTAACTGATGTGGGATCTCACAATCCACCTCCCCTTGAGGGCCTAACGTCCTCGTTGGCACACCGCTTAGTGTCTAGCTCTGATATCATTTGTAATAACATAAGCCCACCACTAGTAGATATTGTCTGTTTTGGCATGTTATGTATTGTCATCAGCATCACGGTTTTAAAACGCATCAACTGGGGAGAGGTTTCCACACCCTTATAAGGAATGTTTTGTTCCCCTCTCCAACCGACGTGAGATCTCACAACCCACCACCCTTGGGAACCCAACATCCTCACTGGCACACCACCTGGTGTCTATCTCTAATACCATTTGTAACAATTCAAGGCTACCGCTAGCAGATATTGTCTGCTTTGGCCTGTTATGTATCGCCGTCAACCTCACGGTTTTAAAACACGTCTACTGGGGAGAAGTTTCTACACCTTTATAAGAATGCTTCGTTCCCCTCTCCAAACGATGTGAGATCTCACAATATATTCCTGAACTTAAGGGCCTTTCTAACTCCATTTTCCACCGATGTCCTAGTGGCTTTTATTTTGGTTTCTCCAAAAGGCCTCGTATAGAGATGGAAACAATTGTCTTCATTCTATATCCGTGATCGGTTTCTTCCCTAGCCAATGTGGAATTTTGTTTCCACTCCTAACAACAATATACATATGATGAGTTGGGGACAGTAATGAAGAAGAAAGAAAGGTACAATGATACCAGGTAAGATAGCTCATCATCCAGCCATATAACAGAAGTCACAGCATCCTCAGTTAATTCTACATTCCAAACTACTTTGATCAGATGCTTTATGTAATCTCCTTTGGTTTCTGCGTCCATTTTTATCTGCAAGTTCTATCAACATATGAATCTCTGAACAGAGTTTGCATAGATGATCTTCAGCATACAATTTGATGTTCTCAATTCATCAAGAGCAGAAAAATCAGAATATGGATAGACTAGAGAGAATCATCTTAACCCATCTACTATTATATCTTACTGGATTTGACCACTAGAAGACACACCACAATGACAGATTAATTATAACTAAACTAAATGGTAACTAATCGTTTAAATAAAACATGAATGGAGCAAACAAATGTTTCAATCTACCTGATCGTGTCACAATCGTGGCGGAGCTGCAGTCTTCCCGGGAGTCTCTCCGCCTCAAAGAGTGGTAGAATTCCGTCAACTCTCGGCCAGATCGACCTCTTTTCTTTGGATGGCAGCGGTGGCAGAACTGACTTAGACAGCAGAGGAGGAGGAGGAAGCTGCAATACAGGCTTCAGCTGAACTTCTGGCAGTGGAGCAGGGGACGGTTGGAGTTAAGAAGTGATCAACCAAGTGAACTGCTGTACTTTCAGGGAATTCGGATTCATAGAACGGTCGTATAGTAGATTGCACACTGAGTAATCCGGTCCTTAAGTTCTTGATCTTTTTTGTTCTTGACAATATTTATGCACTCGTCTTTGTCCTTCAAATGACTGATTAGATTTGATCTCAAATATCGATAGTTTAATCTCCCAAATCTAGAATAGTTGAACTTAGAAAAGGAAAAATCAACCAATTATCCAGAACTAGATATGTTTTCTATTATCGTCTCTTAGATTTCAAGCATTGCAATATGAGAACTAAAACATATCAACCAACAAAGAAGGCTAGTAATACCTTGATTGACTGAACATGCTAGTTGGCCAATCAAGTTATTAATATCTGATACAGATTTGATAAATATTTCTTGTATAATCTTCAAGCAAGGCATCCTAACATGGGATTTTGGAGGTGAACCATTTCATGACAAGAATTGGAACATTGATCAAAGCCAATGCAAATTCAACTGCCACAGTCACACACAAGCAGCAAGGACATATGCAACTGAGCACCGATCTGCAAAACCAAACTAAAACAAGCTTGAGAAAGGACTATTCTTAGAAGTTTTGGCAAAAGCTTTTAAGACTAGAAACAAAACAGTTATAAAACGAGAGAAAGAGATGCTCGATGAACATATTGTATGCCACGAACCCAAAGATCCAAATAATAATACCGACAAATCCAACAAAGAGGGCGAGGAAGGCGAATGGCAGGCCGAGAAGAAAGCCGAGAGGCCTGCAGTTACAGTCCTCACAACAGCAGCAGCACATGGTTATGTTCTAATTTGTTACTCTTCTTTCAGACTGTACCTGGGAGGTTGACAAAGAAGAATTCAGATGCAGCCTGCAGACTGCGATGCCTAATGTTATTACCTGTTGCTTATAACTATACCATAGCTAGCTATTCTAATGCTTTCCATTGGAATGAACGCCATTATAGACAGCTATAAACATGATCCCACATTGTTTCCTCAATGAATCTCAATGTACCGGCTTTGTGCCGGCCCTTTTGCATTGAAAGAGTTGAATCCTTTTTGTTCAGGTCAATTGGATCATTAAAAAACAGTACAAAATTCAACAATATAATACTATGACATTCGATCATTTTGAAAACTTCTAGAGATCTAAACTAAGAATGACAAGTTGAAACATGAATGGATAGATATTGGCATTGTCAAATCTTGCTGGCCATAGCTGAAAGAAGTCCATGAATCAAAGATAAGTTAACTTGTGGCATTTCTGTCCCTCTGATGAATAATTCATCCAAATTTTAGTTCCGATCACTAGAATGATATGCAATCACAGAAAATTTAACTGCAGACGCCGGAGTTACAACGAGCGATCCATTAAATTACAGCAGCCGCAGCAGTCTGCAAATTTCACCATGTTTACTTCCGTGATGTAGTGCCTACTATGTCGTTGATGAGCATCAGCATTAGAAATGTTCATGGACAGTGTTCTCAGCAAGCCCTTGTGTTGTTTTGGTGATATGTATAAGAGCTCTGTGATTACAAAATCCCAAACTGTAAAATGATAACATCAACTTTGAAGCACCAAAACCGCCCTCTTGGTAACTGTTGGAGCGATATGGTTCCTGAATGAGTGCGACAGAAACACAAAAAGTTATTTTTAAAGAGCATTCCAACATCAAGATTCAGCAATTTGTATTAGGCATAAACACTTCTCTGACCCAACAAGCAATCCCGCGTTATCGGTTGAATGTCGACACTTATAAGCTGCCATCAGCCCCCACCCAACTGCTGCCTTTGCATTTAACTCTTCTCATCTTCATAACCTCTCTCAGTTCACTAACATTGTCCCATTTCCCAGCTTCTGCAAAGGTATTAGACAAGGCAACATAAGCTCCTGGCCGACTGTCAGCATTCAGCTTAAATACTTCATTAGCAGCTATGCAGGCCATTTCAATGTTGCCATGAAGCTTAGCTGAGCTCAGTAGAGCTGCCCATACATCAGAATTAGGAGGCTCAGGCATTTGCATAATGAATTCCCATGCTTGATGCAAACTTCCTGCACGTCCCAGTAGATCAACCATACATGCATAATGCTCCAATTTTGGTTTCAATGAGTAGTCTCTCTCCATGCTTTCAAAAATCTCCTGTCCCTTCTCTACTAGCCCTCCGTGTGCACAAGCCGAGAGAGCGCTCAGAAAGGTAACGAAGTTCGGCTGAATCTGGTGTTTCTCTTGCATAATGCAAAAGAGCTCTAGTGCTTCATTTGGATATCCATTTTTTCCATATCCATCTATCATAGACGTCCATGAGAAGACATTTCTCTCCGGCATTTGGTCGAAAACACGACGAGCGTCCTCCGTTCTTCCACATTTGGAGTGCATGTCTATAAGAGCACTTCCCATTCTGATATCTCTGAAGAATTTAGTCTTCATAAGTTGACATTGAATTTGTTGGCCTGCTTCAAATGCTGCCAACACCGAACAAGCACCGATCACACTCGAAAACGTCGAAATATTCGGTGAAAAACACAAACGTTGCATGTCAATGTAAACCTCGAGCGATTTCTTGGCATGTTCAAGCGTTTTACTATAACCTTCAATCATTGCATTGAATACAACTATATCCTTTTCAACAGTCTTCATAAAAATCTCTTCAGCATCTTGAACCAACCCCTGATTCATATATCCCGAAATCATCGATGTCGAACATATCACATTGTTTTGCAACATCATATCAAACACAATCCTAGCAAAATAAACGTCACCATTTTTAACATATGAATCAATAAGCGCAGTGTAAAGCACATCATCTGGTGATACATCCGACTTCAATATCTGAGCATGAACCACCCTTCCTAAACAACTCAGAACAGAGTCATCACGTGAACAAGTAGAAGCCTTTAAAATCATTGAAAATGTATACCCATCGAGCCTTTCACCGGAAATTATGAGCTCACGAACCAAAGAAAACGATTCAGCAACTTTTCCCACCTTTATATACCCACTTATCATATAATTGTATGCAGAAAGTGTCTTTTGAGGCAATTCGTCGAACACCTGGCGTGCATACTTCAACGAGTTACATTTCAGGTGGAGTATGAGTAGTTTAATGGAGATACTTGTATTGGGTATGAACCCGGATTTGAGAATATGGGAATGGAGCTTCTGACCGGGAGAAGGGTCGTCGGAATTGATGTAATGTTGCAGGGCTGATGCTAAAATGGTGGATGTTTGGTTCGAAGTTTGGGTTGAGGTGGCGGAGGGAAGAGAATCGCTGAGTGATGAGAAAATCCGGCGCGTAATAGCTTGAAATCTGCCCTTTTTCATCTTCTCATGGCAGCGGATGGAATTATTTGGTTACGGTCTTGAATTTGCCGAGGAAACTCGGGATGGCTAAGCTAAGAGGAACTCGGTCATGGATTTTCTACATATTATATGATATGTTATAATAAAAAAGATAAAAAAAAAAAAAAAAAAAAAA